TCGGCGGGCAAGCGAAGGGGCTGTCGGTCGCTGCCTCCGCTTTGCTGGTTCCTTCCTCTGGCTTCTGTACCCCAGGTGGTCGCGGTCGCTTTCTGCTGGTGCTGCTCAGCACTCCCGCGCAAGGAGAGGTGCCGGCTTGCCGCTGAGTAGGCTTTCCGTCAGACACCACGGCCCTTCGCTGTGGGACGGAAGTTCAGGGCACGGTAAGGTGCAGCCACCGAGGGACTTGGGCAGCACCCATCCCGTTCGTTTACCCCCCGGCCTTGTGTCTGTAGGCGAGCGTAGCTCAGACTCGAGCTGCCAACGTCTCGGTGCCAGGCCATCTCTGCCGCTTCAGATAGTTGCTGAAGCCAAGTCGGAGAGAAGGAGCTTTTTTCTCGGCATCAGGCAAAGAGCTTGCCGTTTGGATGGACACTGGGAAGATCTTGGTGAGGGAACGTGGAGCTGATCGCTGGCCTTTGCTTAGGGCTGCTGGGAGAGTGCCATTGTCATGGTTTCTTCGCTGGCCGGTTCCCACCTGATGGAGTTTCCTCAAGTATTGGCTGAGCTCTAAGCACCTTTGCTGTCCCCAAGCCATTTCACCTGGTGCCCTTTTGCACTCTGAATGATGGCATTTCCTCCTTTTGCAGACGTCTTCTGGAAGATGTCAGGTGAAAAAAAGCACTCTGAAACACTTTGCCCTCTAGGTGAAGCCCTGTAGAGCTCAGCCTGTTCGACTGGGGTTGCTGATCCCTTTTAGAGGAAATTTCGATTTTGTTTTTTAATCTGAAGCCACGGCACGCAGTAGAGATCCAAGGTAGTGGCAATTCAGTAAAGTGCAAAGACGGAGAGCATTTGGGATAATTAGGTTGCGCAGCTTCTGATGGACCAATTAGTGAAGTGACAGCAAGCATGGTCTAATGTTTCTTTGCCCCTGATACCAGGGAGAGCAAATGCTTTGGGTTATTATTTCTTGGAGCTGAGTTTCAGCATAGCTGACATTTGTGTGTACCTAAGAGCTCCTTAATAGGCTGCCTGCCTTAAGATAGTTTCCTTACACCTACGAAATGGCATTTGCTGCACTTGGGAGTCACGTCAGTAAGTGTCCTGTGCACCTTTCATGGCATAATTCCTAAGACCGCCTTTTTCTTCTTTGTCTGCCACTCTATTTTCCCATTAATGAGGATTTATTTATATTTTCTTTTGCTCACTGTAAGTTGAGAAAGTAATGTATCGAGAGGTAGGGTGTTGGGTGTCTTTTTTTTTTTTATTTGGGAAGGTGGGTGGTTTGGGGATTGGGTTTGGTTGTTTTACAAATAAAGACCTGCAAACGGACAGATACTGTCTTTGCTTTTGTTAATGGGTAAGGATTAAAGGAAACCAAAGGCTTAAGTGTTTCCTGCTGTCTTCTGTGCCTCTTGCTGCTCTTGGTGTCCTTGGAAATAGTTTTCTGCGTGAAGATGCACGATCCCCTGTATTAGAACACTTTACGTGAAAACTTGAATGCTGTTTCAAAACTGAAACCAAGGTGTTCCCTTGTTGCATCTGATCCTCTAGAAGGTGCGTGTGCTGTATGCCCCAGGATAAGCAAGCCTGGTCTTCTGTCTCCAAGCTGAAATGCAGCATGTCGCTCAAGTTTCAGGTGGGCTCAATTTGTTAGTTGCCTGAAAAAGGGATGCTAGCAGTTAATTTTTACCATCAATATTTTCTTTTCCATTATCGCAGGACGGTAATACCACATGCCACTGAAACGACCAGAGAAGTTGGTAACCTTGAAGAGCCCATTTCCTCCAACATCCCAGATTCCGGGTCTCAGTGACCTTGCAAAAGCTCCCCATGAAGTGCTGTCTCGGTGTTGCAGGAAGTGGATCCAAGAGACCGATTCAGCTTGTCAGGCTGGCAAAGCAAGGAGGCTGACCTGGTGAGCATCTGTCTCACTCGTTTGTTTTTCCTTCATTTTCTTTGTCTTTGCTTGAGTGTGGTGGTAGAAAGTGCTTGTAGATACTACAGAAGAATCCTCTGGAGTTTTGAAATGAACCTATGGAAAAAATGAGCAATTGAAAATGTGATGTAAGAGGTCACCCTGTCAAGACATCCTTGCAGTCTATTGTGGTGGTGTGGTTTAACCCGGCAGGCAGCTAAACACCACACAGCCGTTCGCTCACTCCCCCCACCCCCGGCAGTGGGATGGGGCAGAGAATCGGGGGGGGAAGTAAAGTTCGTGGGTTGAGATAAAGACAGTTTAATAGGACAGAAAAGGAAGGGGAAACAATAATAATAAAAGAATATACAAAACAAGTGATGCACAATGCAATTGCTCACCACCCATTGACCGATGCCCAGCCAGTCCCCGAGCAGCGGTCACTGCCCCCCCGGCCAACTCCCCCCAGTTTATATACTGAGCATGACGTCATATGGTATGGAATACCCCTTTGGCCAGTTTGGGTCAGCTGTCCTGGCTGTGCCCCCTCCCAGCTTCTCGCTGGCAGGGCATGAGAAGCTGAAAAGTCCTTGACTAGTGTAAGCACTGCTCAGCAACAACTAAAACATCGGTTTTAGTTGTATTCATCGGGTATTCCCTTACTGAAGGGAATACCAACATTATTCTCATCCTAAATCCAAAACCCAGCACTGTACCAGCTACTAGGAAGGAAATTAACTCTATCCCAGTCAAAACCAGGATGTATGTAGGTACTTTTTAGCAAAATACGTAGTTTTGCACTGTATCTGATCTAAGTAGATGATGACAGTTTAGCTGCATTTGAGTGAGGTCTTTACAATTTATGCTTGGGCTATTTAAGTAGTGGTCTGGTGAAAATGATGTCACAAAAAAGCATTATCAGAAAACTTGGTAGAGGTTTATAAACTTTTTTATGATGACCTTCAGTTTGTTACAGTGCTGTACATACTCTGTTCTTGTACCAAGGTTATCAGTGGTTTTATTATTTCCTTTATCAAAGAAGGAAGCTTGAGGAACTTGAGCAGATGGCTTGCACGCATGCTTAGAGCAGGGTGACAAATCCAGAAGTATGAATTAACAGACTGGTAGAAACATGTCAAAGCATTTAGAGCAAGATAAAAAAGGTACAAGTGGAATGCAATGCTGCAAGGTTCTGACTGTCCATTTTATCAAGGGAGACAAATGCTGCTTACTGAATAAAGCAAGCATTTCTTCTTGATAAAATAGCAACCTGAAAACAAAGGTAATGCTTTTGCGACCAGATAAGAAGTCAGAAAAGTAATGGCTTTTGTCTTTTTCTCTCAAGACCTACTGAAGCACTACACTCCCGTGACAGGGAGGTCCTCTGCAGCAGCATATGCTATGCCTGACTGGTACTCGCACTGCTCCAATCCCCCAGTGACTGACGAGCCACGGCAAGTCTGCTGAGACCACACATGACTTACTAGGTTCTCTCTTCACCTGGTAGTATTTCAGAATCATTCTGTAATGAAGTGCAACATTAGGAATGTGTCCCTGGCACAAACAAGCATTACATCTTTGCCTGCAGGAGCTCTCTTTCCTCTCTACCAGAATATATGATTCACAGAGAGTTTAAGGCTGATGACCATCATGGTAATATTTATGAGACAAGAAGAGGACCTTTTGGTTTTGATATGAAAAGTGTTTGGCAGTGGGATGCTGAGGACAAAGAAAACACAGAGAAAAAGAAGGTAGGATGGAGAGGCACTCTGTGATGACACTTTGTAGAGCTTGTGAAGACACTTCTAGCTGGGCCTGTGGGTTCTTACTGAAGGGAAGCTGTAGTCCACCCCGGTTTCTATATTCCAGAAGCAATTTTTATATTGCAGTTAGAGAATGAGAAGAAAGCCGTATTTCTCTTAAGTGCTGCAGGTATAGCATAAGAACCAGAAATGCGGTTTCCAATCACATTATACGGTGCGTATACTTAAGTGTGAATGAAAGCCAGTAGTTAGTTTCCATCTTCCTAGGCTTTGCTTCCCCTGCAATTCACTCTTTGTGAAGAGAATTCTTGTTTTGTGATCTTGGGGGAGGAAGAAAGGAGGAGGAGGAAGGAACAGTAGACTGTTCCGAAGAAGGAGTTTGTTTTAGTTTAAAATGCAAGAGAGTCCCCAGAGATACTGCACTAGCTGTCTTTGAACGGAAGATGTATCCAAGACAAAATAAGTATAGCACAAGCTATGCCCAGAACAAACCTTTCTGTGATGACCTTGGCATTTTGTCCTGGAAACCTCTCTCCCATCCTCCCTCTTTCATCCTCCCCACCCATTTTAGATGCTGAAGCCTTCTGTTTTTTTAATATCCTCCATAATCTTGGCTGCCTCATTTACCATAGGTCTTTGGAGTATACATGGAAAGGCGTTTGATGTACTTGAACACCAGTGCCTCTCTTCTTGAACAGAGGGGCAGATGTTGGACATTTTAGGAAAAAAAGTCCTTAGCCTTTGCTGAGATGAGTAACTAGTGCAAATTCAGAGCGATGGCTTGTGTAAATTGGAACATCTCATTTCTGAATAGGCTTGGGACTGTTTACTTAATCTTTGGAAACAGGCAAACAAGCAACGTATGCTTGAACTGCAATTTACCTGATGCTTGTAGGTGAAGCTTTTTTTCAATCAGAGATTTAAGGCACTGAAAATAGAAACGTAGTCTGCCACGGAGCCTCTTAAAGGACAGAGAGGAACTGCTGTCCCTTGCTCCCTTGCTTAAGAACCAATTATCTTTAGTGCTCTTAAGAGTCAAACTTAACTTTGATAACAGTAAGTGTAATTCAAGTCCATGTGGTGACTGGTAAAGTGAGACTGAGGTCCATTTCTGTTTAGGTGGAGTTTGATCAAGATCCAGTTTCATTCAGTCATGTGAATGAAAGTTCCCCTGTGTGTTATCACCAAATACAAAGTGAATATATGTTATATATTCAGCTCAGATTCCAAGTCTGCTGAGGCCCTGATACATAATTTACACTGCTCTTCTGGAAGCTGAAGTTGAGTTTTGTCTAAGGTACTAAATCTACCAAATCTTCTTCTTTAAGATTAGGTGTCTGAGAAGGAAGATTCCATGTCTCTAGTTTTAGCTCTATCTCCACACCACCATCTCTGAAATGGTTGTCCTTCACAGTACCTTTCTTGTACCCTGAAAAGCATCTCTCATATCTTGAAACATCACATGGTGCTTCTTTCACAGCTATTTCTCGTATCTCCTCTTATAGGAGGTTTCTATCCCGTGCTTTAAGAGTACCTGCCTGAAGAGTCTTCAAGTGAGACAATGGAACTAGCCCTACCAATCTTGATTTTAGTTTTCACACCGTACATCTTATATGTTGAAATGCAAGAGATGTATTTCAAAACACCACAGGCAAATTTCTAAAGAAAATTCAATTTGTTTGTCTGACTACGTGATGATACTGCAGCAGCAAACTACCTCAAGTATTGAGACTTGAACGTATTGAAAATATTTTTCAGTCCAGTCTGACTAAGCAGTTGTTCAGAAGAGAGATGTGTGATGCAATCGTGGAGATAGATCCCAAAGGGCGCCCTTAGGGACAAGTGCAAAAACATTTTGACCTCTAAGGGTGCCTGTTCTACGCAGTTTGGAAAGCATTGTTCCCAAGTGGGCCCTTGCTCTGGAGCTTTAAGCCTTTATGCCACTTTGTTCTGAAGCATTAGAATCTCCACCATTCCTTATATTAGGGTTGTCACTGCGTAGAGGAGGACTGGAGATCAGGGGGACCATTGCATGGTTCTCCGTGCCTCGGGGTGGATTTAGCCTTTGTGCTCATGGCAAAGTGATGGACTGCTAGCCCAGGTGGAAGCACCCTTTTGCCTATGCATCACGTGGACCAGCCGAGTTGGGTTGAAAATGCTATGGCCTTAAGAAAGAGGCAGGCCTGTGTACGGGTGGGAGATCAGTTGGAGGTGGTTATCAGGGTTAGCATCAGCATTAGGCAATCTTCCTGCGGCACCAGTAAGATCACTGCTTCATGTCTGAAGTCGTCTCTTTCAGGCACTTGCCTGAAATGTATGTGTATATATGCATACATACATATGTATGTATGTGCTGTAGCAAAAGGATTAGTCATCTGAGGTCAGGATTTTACCTCAGAGAGAGATTTGAAATGCAGTCTAGAATTTTTCCCTTGATCGCAGGGGAGCCGGGATTTCATCTGGGGGCTTTTAGCTTTCCATGCTGGTAGCAGGTGTATATTGTTCTTCATATACCAGCCAGGCACAATACCTATCACAGTTCATGTTCCTTGAATCTGAGACTAATAAATGTGTACGTATAATAAATGTAGGTAGTAATTTTTAGGGTATGTTGTTGCCATCTCTTCACAAAGGGAGAAAATGCTTTAAACTGAGAACATGTAAAAAAGGTCCTACATAGTTTGCTTTATCTGGGAAGCTTGACAGCTGTTAAATAGAGGCTTGTCAAAGTGAAAATGCCTCCTCAGCTATAACCGTTGGGGTGGAGTGGCACAAGGTCTGCTTTAATGCTGAATTTGCCCTGCAAAGTAACAAACAGCACCTGACGGGATTGCAGGTGCCCTCCAAAACCAAATTCTGATCTGTTCCCTTGCTCCTTTTGTCACTCATTAGCTGATTTGAACAGTAAGGAACATTTTGATACCTGCACGTTATGCTAGCCTGTCTCATTTAATACCAAGAAAAGAAAGACAACCTTTAAAACAGCGGGTAGGACTTGCTGGCAGCCTTCAAATCTTTTCTTGTTGCCTTTCCTTTCCCCTTTTTTGCTTTGACTTTAGTTTTGACAGTTGGGCCTTTGTCTATCTCTAGACAAAGTCCCTCTAGGCTTCCCTCCTCCCCCTGCCCTTTAATTAACTCTTTAATTACTAGACTTCCTTTTCTAAGGCTTCTCTTCAGTGCCAAGAGGAGAGTCCCATCTCTTTCCATCTACTATTTGTATATCCTATCAAATCAAGTTGTTTTTCTGTGTTGCCCTGTGTGCCATCGTGCCTTCAATATGTGACAAAAGTTACCTGAGTTTGATGATTTCTACTTGTGTAATTAAATTGTTTTTGTCAGTTGAAACTGTAGGTAACTGTGTCCTGGATCTGAAACTTCCATGGTACGTCAGATCTGAAATAGGCAGAAGACAGCACTATCATTTTTTGCTCAATAGGATAGCATTTTTGAAATGTAAAGCACAAATAGGCTGCTTCAGCAGAGAATACTGTTAACGGATTTGAAAAGCAGTTCTAAGCAGCTAATGCATTTTTTAACCTCCGGGTTGGAACAGAGCCCCCTTCTTCATCTGACATCACTGCCTCCAACATCACTGCATGCTCTTGCTGGTATCATTCTCTTCTTCTTTGACAAGTCTCCCGGTTTTTCATCTCTTTAAGCTTCAACGTAACATCAGCCAGGCTGAAATCTAGTAGCCCATCCACTTATTCTTTACCAGATTCTGGAACTTTTCTTCTGATGAAACTCTGACTCCGCTGAAGTCTGTAGGGATTTGAGCACTGACTTAACACGTTGGTTTGCATTGACATCCTGTTTCAGAATCAGTAGAACTCTCTCCCCTAGGCTTCACCTTCCCCCAGAAAATAAAAATTACACTCTCCAAACATTCAGGGCTGCTTCTTTTAGTGGCTTGTTAATTAGTTCACTGATTAGACATATTCAAATGCTATTATACTTTTCTTTGCTCTTTCCATACTAAATGTGCACGGGCTCCTTGGGAAGTCTGTGGTGTGTTTACATCTATTTTGGAATCTTCTCCTCATGGATGTTTTTATGGGAGTTGTTTTGTAGTGTCTGCAATCCAAGTGCAACTGCTGCTGATGCATCTAATTTTTGCACTCTGTTCATAATTTTTTTCTCTGTTAACTGTATTGCAGTAGGTATGTCCACATAGGTGAAAAGTATCTTTATCCTTAATGTACTTTTAAATTTACAGGGTGATACATTTCACTTCTAGTTACCCTGTCCTTTTTTTTTTAAATAACCTGCAAGTAATATCTCTTACCATATGGGGCGCTCTCCTGTGTTGCATGTTTAAAAGAGAAAATGGTCAAACAATGTGTAGGTTCTAATTAAAAGGATATTTTGCGATAACACAAAAACTTTGTTAATAAGCTTTGAAAACTTTGTGCTGTCTTGAGGACTTTTTTCCCCCCGTCTTTTCTTCATGCAATGAAGTAAGCTGTAAATAGTCTTTAAAGATGTTTTTTCTTTAACCTCAGAATTTCTTAGCAGCTATTAGTGAAAAATATCTGGGAGTTGTTGAGGATATGTAATTTTATGCTTTTATTTGAGAGGGAGGTAAGTTGACCTTCAGCAGCTGTTGATTTTGATCAAAGTTATAATCAACAGCTTTGATATGTGTTGCTAATGTTTCTCCATTACTTTTTGGTTTTCCCAGTCCTAGAGTTTGTGATGTCATTTCACTGGCTTTCTAGGTGTCATCTTGTCTTTCTGTCTTTCAGTCAACACTGAATTTCTTTACCTGTCATTAGCAAGTGAAAGATGATTAAAGCAAAATACACTTTTCTGCTGTAGGCTTCACCCAATATATCTGTAATTGTTCGAATTTCAAACCTTTAATTAATGTACCACAACGGTTTTCTTATTATATGGGATGTTTTATGCTTTTTATTAAAAAAAAAGAAAAAAAAAGTAGTAATTAAACTGGAAATGAATTTCTGGTCCCACTGACTTTAGTAAGACTGGGATGTTTTCATACCCTGCATACAGAGAAATGAGCCAAGATGAGAGGTTGCAATGGGTAAGTTTGAATTTGAAGCTTAACTTTGGGTAGAAACGTACTGTGAGGGAAAAGCTTGTGGAGAGCACATTTTGCATTATTGACATACTGAACAAAGAGCTGATCTCATCCAGAATAATTAACTAAGGTGCTGCTTTATATTTTGCTATTCCTTTGTACTCCTGTATTCTTACTCATGGAAAAAATATAGATAGTAAAATTTGAAGACATTTAGGGCCTTTAATACAACCTTCATTTTTGAAGGTTATGTTATCATATAACCTTCTTGGTTATTTTTATCATAACTCCTTTTATTAAGTTAAGATTTCTCTAACACAGGTAAAGCTCCCAGCTATAAACCTAAATATCCAAGCAGAATGCCAAATGTTTCTACAAACAAGGAATTTAGTGGGAAAAGTAAGCTTTCCTTCCCACCTGTGTAAGTAGTAGGCTTATGAAATTCATTAAACTCCTAAGCCTGCAACTATTTGTGCACGCAAGTAATGTTACTCCTTGTGAAATTGCAGAGATTAGTGGATATGTGTATGGACTTTGTGGATCCTCACTGCTACTAAACTTGCTATCATGTGTGATACTAAAATAGTTTTACAAGCAACTAAAATAATAGCACTTTAACTCGTATAGGAAAGCTATTCAGTATAACTTTGCTTTAGGAAAACTAGCCATACAGTTGCACGTCTTCATGTAGCACACTTTTATTGTATTCTAAATTGGTTTTTTTTCTCAATACCAGTGAACAGATGCAAACGATAATGTACGTTGTTAGTTCTGTAAGCTTAGGTTACGGAGACACAAGTAGGACTACCATTTTAAGAAGACACATAAACTGTAGCCTATATAAGGTCAGGCACAGCAAAAATACTGTAATGAACACCTGGAAGATAATAGTCTTTTAAGCAAATTATTATATCACCTGTGATGTGATGTAATCACATCATCAGCTGTGTGCGCAACTGAATTGTTTCTGTGTACTTTGTCTTAAAAATTTATTACACAGTAATCCCAGCATGTTTTAGAAATATGTTAATGATGCAAAATCAGTGATTAAACTGTCTAATGAACTTAAGAGCAAATCTGTGACAAAATTTCACCTTTGTGCGGCACAGAATGAGTATTGTCAGCCTTTTTTACTTACACATTCTTTGTGTGATTTCCCTTTTTCACTTTTTCGTCTCCAAGACCAGAACCATGTAAGTATTCTACATGTAAAGTTCCAACGAAATGGATGGCTCTTCTCATGTAAATTACGCATTACTGAATCAAGTGTAGTTATGTGCTTTGGGTTTTTTGGGGTTTGTTTTTGTTTCTTTCTTAGATGATTGCATGTAGAATATATGTTTAGTTACTTCGAAATAAATTATGTTACAAGGCTAGCGCCCTTTCTGTGCAAAATAGAATTTTCCCACCTAATCCCCATTTTTGTTTACTTATGCTATTGTTTTCATTAATATATTTGGATTTACAGGCCTGCTCAGAGAAAAAGCGAAGCAGTAAACTTCAGCAAATTAATTAGCAATGGTTATGGGACTGACTGGTTTCAGCAGTGTACTGGATGGGAAAAAAAGATTCAAGAAACATCAGAAAATAGTGAGCAGTCCAAAGGCAAAAATTATTGACAGCTGTTTCTTTTAAAGTGAGTTGGGATCTTAAGGTAACAGCAGAGGGTAGCCTGAATAATTTGTGTGACTCTCTTCGAATATGGTGAGACTTACTGAATTACTATGCTTAGCTTACAAAAACCTATGACTAGCCAAACAAAAGAGTGTTCCTGCTTGTAGTCAGCGAGGGCAGGGGCTTTCATGGATTTTTTCATCTTTACAATTGCAGAAGTATGCTCTGTTCTGATCCAAGGGTTCCTGTGTGACATGTTTTTGTAAAATGCTGCAGAGACACAGCCATCCTCCTGCCTAAATTTAAGGAGACCGTAAAATATTTGTTGCCTGTTTGTTGTGAATAGTCTTTGGCCCCTAATATTTTTCTGAAAACTTCTGTGACAAATGTCATTGATACTCGTGTTTACAAAATAGATCAGTTCATTAAAATTTGTCAACATAAATATATGTGCATTGTTGAAGACAGTGGTGTTGCAACAGTTTTATTAGAGAGAAAAAAACTTATCCAATGTTTACCTATGATTTCAAACCTTAATTTGTCATGCATGATGGTAATTGCTATGAAAGACATCACTTGAAAACACTTAGATACAAAGGTTAAAGGGAGGAAAATTTCCCTTCTGTCAAAGAGCTTTTGCTTAGGCTTTTTACAGTGGCTTGGTAACCACGGTGGGTATATCAGTTTTCTATAGCAACCTTTTAAAATGCTATTGAACATACACATTGCAAGCTCCAGAATTTTATTTTTTTTATTTGCATCTGTGAATGCTCGTGTATACACTGGGGATTGCCATGACTCCCTTGACCTTGGTATATCGATGTGTGAAAGTCTTAGAGGCCAGTTAGTTTAGTTTCTGTGACACTTTGGCACTTCCTGAATTCATCTTTTTGTCTTCCATTGATATATCTACAGTAATATTTTTTGTGTGTGTGTGTGCAGAACCTCTTCCTCCAGGTGAGTATCAGAAGCAAACAGGCAAACAGAAAACTAGAAGTTGTGTGTTATTGTTCAGAAGAAAAACTGCTATAAAACTAGGGATGAAGCCAGATCTCAGTCTGGACCTGAAAGAGGGTGCATAACCTGAGAAGCCTCTCTTCAAAGTCAACGTAAGTATGCAAACTCTGATCACGCAGAGGATGCTGCCTTGGGAGGCGCAATGACCTAACAGTTCAACCATGGAGCCTAAAAGTGCTCTTCCTTAGCATGGCCAGTTGCCTTGAATATTCTTCTTTTGTCTTCAGGTTCTATTTAACTTTCTTGTGCGCTGACATTTTTCTTTTCCATTCCTGTGAGTAAAATGAAAGGATATGGGATTTTCATTCATTCATTTGGTGATAGTTGATTTCTTTAATGTGAAGTGTGCCTCTAATGGGACACTTGGAATATAAAGCAAGCTGAAGGTTTTTCAGAGTAATCATGATATTGGTTTGGTTATACCATTCAGGCATAGAGAACAAAATGATGGGTATACTGTAAAGGCTGCTAAAAAGTCAGTATGCTGCATAGTTTGATACGTAGATACATCTTATTTTTGAGATGCTTTTCTTTCACAAATTCTTAGATAACATGACACCCGCTTTGCTTCTATTGCCCTCCTTTGTCAATCACAGCTATTCTGACTGAGATTGATTCTGTATCTCAGTGTAAAAGAAGATATTTTTAATGCTCTTAACAGTATGGTTTCATCCAGGCAGGTACCTTGATTTAGTTTTGACCCTGTCCTTTTCATTTTTTCAGGTATGCACTGAAGGTAGTGCTTGTATTTTCTTCCCACTTGGGTACTTTTGTCTGCTCATCCAAAGCAATTGGCAGCATGAGCCCCTTGCAGCTCCCTTTTGAGATGGAGCTTTCTCTGTTCTCTCTTGCGCAGGATAAATCCAAGACACAGCAGACAGGAGAATCAACCCATTCCATATGTAAATCTATAACCTGTTTGTGTTGGGTTATAGATTTGCATCATTCTGCAAACTTTGTAGGTAGCTTGTCTATCTTGTTAGTTAAAAATTAAAAGTACTGGAATTTGTATGCATTTTGATATGAGAGAGAAACTGAAAATTTTAGTTGACCTTTTTGTTCTTATGGTTGAAGTTTTCCCAAGAACTTCCATCTTTTTTTATTGCAAATTTAGAACCATCACAGTCTGAATCAGCACCTGCAAGCAATGAGTCAAAGCCACCATTTCAGGGATGTAATGAGTAATTTAAAAGATTGTTGGGGAAAGTAAAGCCTTATATGGCTTATATAGTCCACTGTTTACATGTTTGTTAGATCACTTTTTATAGTGGAACTCATCCCTGATTGAGAAGTTAATTTGGTTTAAAATATGGATAAACTTCATTGTGCTTGATTACAGCAAATTTTAAAGAACAGGCAACAGCTGTCAGTGCATATTTCTAGACTGTTTCTTAATATAATAAACAAAATAAAGCAAAACTGAAGTTCTCTCCTACACCAGGCTAGTGCTCCTTTGCTGTTGTCAAATAGGGTTACCATATTGCTGCTGATTTGACTAGATACAGGCACGATATCAATGTGTCCAAACCAGCAAGTCTCTTTATTTAACTACAGTTATACGCATGACCTACGCCATAAAGAAAAGTGAGGGGGAACTGTACGGTATGGGATGAAATGTAAATAGAAAGAATTGAACTGGTATGGATCCTTGCAGAGAAAAAGTCAATACTTCACTGGAAAGACAGCTTCTTAGTCCCAAAAGCACATTTATTTAGACCAGATGTTCAGCTTTCTAGGACAATTCTATTGCTATGCCTGCTGCACAAGAACTAGTTGATCAGTCATAGTGTTCAGCCACATAATTAAATTAAGACCCAGTGGCATTTCCTGTTATAGTCTTGTTATTTAGAAGATGAATCATTGGGTAGCACTAAGGAATCATTGGTGCGGACTAAGCTATATATGATGTCTGCACTTTCATCTGTTAAATGAAAATTTTACTTATCCTGAAGTTTTGACTGCAACAAAAATATTATAAGCTAAATCTCTGTGTTTATTCACACCAGCAAAACAGTTTGTACTTTGAAATAGCAATGCATATAAATTATTTTAATGTTTTGAAAAAGTTAGATACGCTGATGTTTTAACACTTGCTCTTTATCTACTTGAGTTAGCATATATCCCTGAAACCTTATGAATTAAATGAAGATTTTACTTATCCTGAAGTTTTGACTGCAACAAAAATATTATAAGCTAAATCTCTGTGTTTATTCACACCAGCAATGCATATAAATTATTTTAATATTTTGAAAAAGTTAGATACACTGATGTTTTAACACTTGCTCTTTTATCTACTTGAGTTAGGATATATCCCTGAAATCTTATGAATAATTAAGTATTTCTTATAAAGCCCATTAGAAAGTGGATGCATATTCAATACGATATTTTTTGCTAATACTATGAAAAGTGAAGTTTTTAATAAGTAAAACGGTAATTCTTAGTTTCCTTTTCAGAGTGCACTCAGTACATTGTACACCTTTGAATCCAAGAGCTGAAGATTTTAAAATGTATTACTGAATACACACTTCTTTTAACAAAATGTTTAGAGGATTTGGCTTAACAGTGCTTCCCCTTAGAACTTTGATATGAAAATTGATTGGAAATAGGTAAACCTATTGCTAATCTGAACCCTCAAAATTTTCAGTGAAAGTTTGTGGAAGTTTTGCTGTTGATGTTGTTAGACCCAGCATCTGAGTCCATCTCTGCTGTTCATGCTAACCAACAATTCAACTGTCCAAGTTGCATTTACAAAAATAAAAGGCTAAAACATACGAAAATACCTAAATGTACAGTTATTGGTTAGTTAGCAAAATTTTCCAAATATAAAAAAGCTTACATCAAGCTGTAGCTGAGGGGGGGAAAAAAAATTACTACCTTATATCTGTTTTCACTTACAATTTGTAGTGGATTAAGTTCAGATACATTGAAACCATTAATTTTGCTGTGAAAGCAGAGCTTTTGGTGAAATCTACTTTTCTAGGCTAGGGTACCAGGGGATACCAGAGCTGGAGCTCGTAGTATTAAAACAGTAGAAAAACTGTCACCTGTCATTATAGAGAAGCACTAAAGAATAAGCTTGTGTGAAGAAATTGTGTGTGTATAACAGGCAAATTGTTGATACACTTAGGATTTCAACTATAAAACTTTACACCTAATGCAGTAATCACTAGTAGCTGCATGATGTTCTCCAAAAAAATAAATACCATTTTATGAATTTTTCAGAATTATTCAGTCATATGAACATGCCTTATCCAGGAATTCAGCTATCTTCATTTAATAGAGTCTTTGGATAAGGTTATAATTTTTATTTTTAGTGTCTGTAAAAAAGCGTAATAGAGGGCTGGGTTGTTTGTGCCCACCAATGGTAAACTGCAACAGTAAAATAACTTCGGTGTATGACAGCCTTTGTAGCATACTTTAAGGGTATAACTATCAACAATAGTACTACTTTCCAGTCTCACTTTGATCTTCTGACTCCTATTATTGTAGGAAGAACTTCTTTTGCAAATACTATTTGCAGTTACATGCTTTACTGGCCAAAACATAAAAGAAAGGGGAAATATGAGATGATGATGAAACTCTCTGGATTTTCTTAACGGAGCTGCTTAAGGGTAAGGCAGCCAAGCGGGTTTTTTTTAATGCTCATCAGTTGAGTAAGAAGGTTTTTTGTTCTTAAGCATATATTGAATCCATTTCAATCTCTTTTTTTGTAGAAAGTTTTCTGAAAGCTGTTTAGCACAAATTTACTGAAAAAGTTGGAGACAGTAATGTTATGACCTAAAAAAAAAAAAGCCCAACTAACATAGTATTTACAAATTTAAAGATCACCTGTTCACATAGACTTGAAAGTGCTTGGTGTGCCAAAGCCCTCAAAATCTACTCCATAAAATAAGAATTCCTGTGTGGCCACAATACTGCTGACCTACAGACAAGAATTCTAATCATTCTTTTCTATGTTATGGTCTCTCTTTCTCATTAAGATCTGTACAAGGCTTCCTAAAGTAACTTCATTACTTTGAGTTGTTGATATCTAAGTCCTCTTCACTTTTGAACACTTTTTCCTCAGTATTGGAGTTCTTGTCCAAAACTGTCAAACTTTTAGGCAATTGTTAGAGGCAGAGGCAGAAAGACAACAGATCCTAACTTGGTCACTCAGCACTGTTATTTTGCTTTACTGTAGTTGTGTTCTTAGAAGTGTTTATAGTGCAGGTTTTCAGATATTTTAAAAGTGTACACCATATCCTATTGTAAAAATTGTCTCTTTTTACCTTGGTCACCATTAGGTAATATCCACATGACATTCCTCAAATTCTTAAAGTTTGCTAATGTGCCATTAATGTATACTCAGCTTTCCTTTGTCAAGCCAAGGAGATGTTTGATCTGCACTGTCGGTCAACTGAGTCTTCATGGATCACAGTTTGAATACCCCGAGTTAGAATATTAACAGCCTAAGATTTCCCTTTGTAAGAGCAGGTGGAATTTGTCTTTGTGCGTTCAGAATAATGGAGAGCGGCAGCAGAAACACAACTTGCCTCTTCTCCAAGGGACATGAAATCATAGTGTAACAAATCAAAAACCTCCAACTGAATTCAAGGATGGAAATGTGTTGCTCAAGTTCACCTCACCTCAGTAATTATGTTGTTTTACTTACTTCTGAGTCAATGCAGTCATGCAACTGGCAGTTTTCAAAGTCATCAGCAGTTCCGTGTAACAGCCGTGGAAGCTTCTGGGTCTGGAAGGGTTTTCAATGTTTGTTTTTCAGAGAGATGCCGAAGTCAAAAGCTGGGCGCTTACTTACAAAAACTAGCTTTGTTGTTTTAAATGCTGAAATGTTTATTTAGTTGTATTGTGCTCCATCTCTGACCTGAATGCCTTTAAGTAATAAGTGAGATAATTTCTTTTTCTTGAATACTGATCGCTTTGCAAGCCCAAAGGTAAAACAAAAGTGCAGTTCCATCTTATGAATTACATCCAAGTATACTGAATATGTGAATATTTTTAAAAGAGAATTCCAGATACAGACTTAAAAAATAACTTGGCAGTTTAGGTACCAAAGAGTAACTTTCCTTTTACATGCAACCATTTAACTGTAGCAAAGTCTAATGGCTGTTTTCATTTTAATGTGACCGAATATATATTTCATTCTTACCACTTATGTCTTTTTAGTTTAGACTAAAACATAAACATGTTTTCAGAGATCAAGGGTATATATACATTAACTTTCTTTGTGTAGCAATGCAAACAAAAATTGAATTGGCCCATGCATTTCTTAAGCATCTAAAATTTCACTTACTTCAGCATATCTATTTCTTAAATACTTATATCTGCACTGAATATGCAGACTTAGTTGTAAAAGGTGTAGGATGAAGCCAAATTTTTTCCTGTAAACAAATAGCCTAATATTCTGCTTTTGCAGTTCTCTGCAGATGATTTTTCAGAATGTAGTTACATAGTATGCTATAGCCTGGAAAAAAAGCTAGAAATAGAAATACAGAAGTTCAGTCTTAGCATGTTTTGTCCTCCTCTTGATAGTTTTAATGATACTAAACATCCAGAATGACTGAAGAATCAAAATGCAGTAGATAAGTGTCCGAACAGCTGCACTGAATTATTTGACCAATTGACTATAGAAATGGTATATGGTGAGCAGGAAGAAGTATACTTTTGATTATAAAAGGACAGACAGCCTTACTTTCCATAGATGCAAGTTTTCATCCATGCAATATGAAAATCTGAAAAGTGAGGCCAGTTGTAGGTTTTGTAATTTATTGTTGTAATAATCCCAGTATGTAGTTGTGTATTTTTCACCCTTTTAAAGTAACATTTATTAACATATTTTGTATTTTTACTTAAGAGGTATCTTTGCCACTAAAATACAAAATGAAATGAAAACCCAAAGATTACAAAAGCAGGAAGCTTTTTTACGCTGAGGATGGTGAAGCACTGGCACAGGTTGCCCAGAGAGGTGGTGGATGCCCCATCCCTGGAAACCTTCAAGGTCAGGTTGGACGGGGCTCTGAGCAACCTGATCTAGTTGAAGATGTCCCTGCCCACAGCAGGGGGGTTGGACTAGGTGACCTTTAGAGGTCCCTTCCAACCCAAACTATTCTATGATTCTATAAGCTTAAAACAAATTTAAATTTTAAATTTAAAAAAAGTATTCTAGAGATGACTGAGAGCAAAGG